CTTAAACATTAAGTTAACCCTATTCCAAATACGTTTTTAAACTATTCAAATGATGAAAGTTATTGTTGTTTTTAAGCGTTTATTAGCAAGTGGGAACGACCAATATGGCCGCCATCTATTCAAATGGGGGTAACCGCTGGCATATTCTTGGCTTCAATTTTAATAAAAGAGATGCGCTATCTAGTGTATATAAGATATCTATGATGTGACGTCATTCACACGACGCAGACAAACCAAACCTAGACTAAATGAGGGATTATTACACAATTATAAAGAAAAGAATTCGATGATTTTTTGCATTATTAGCCTCCTTAAAATAGAAAAAATACAAGATGGAATGACAAAGCAGCATGTGATAAATAATGACTTTTTAAACAATTTAGAAGATCAACATATAAATTCTCCCTAACATGTCACGTGTCTCCATTGCACGTGTACTAATTCGTACATTATGATTGTATGTTAGGCTGTTAGCACATCATTTTTGTCTTTCTCGATGGAATTTGGAAGTACAAGCTATGTGAAAAAAGTTTATTTCGATTTACACACACCACAATTTATGTTGTTACGATGATACATTCTTAATTACTCGTGGAAGGAACAAACTATTGACGTGTTGTAGCATCGAAAAAGAATTACGACTGTGGCCATTCTTATGCTGTCATGAAAAATATGCTGGGGAATGTTGTTTTATAAAAGATCTTTTGCAAAAAAGGAAATCTAAAAATCGATTTGTTTTGTCGGTATAAATGTGACTGAAATGGATCTGCTTGTAATCTGTACAGGACAACGGGTCAATATACAAAACTGAAAATAGTCAAAATACGGATATCAGTTTTTAACAATGCGAAGATTTTGAATTTGTTTGAGAATCGTGGACTTGGAATAGAAATTGGTTTATATTTTGTTACCAAAAGATCATTTTGTTTTAATACCATTTCAAAGACAAGGAGCGTCGACTGAAATAGTGTTTGCCTGTTTTGATTATTGTTCATATTATCAAAGGCGGCCATACGGGTAAGTTATATTGCGAATTAAATTCTATTTTACCGTATAGATTTCAATCAAGCATGGCCGCTTGCAATTGCAAAATTGCTGCCTGTATGATCTACTTAGATTTTCCATGTGCATCATCGCCCTCTGTATATCAACACATTATATAAATTTACCTTTTCGATGTTTTCCTTGTTTAGTAATAATTCCTTTTTGACTTTCATTTTATTTTCGCAAAATCGTTTCCTTTTCGAATAAGAATATCCTTTCCGGTAAGGCATCTATTTAATTTTGAAAGAGATTTATTAATACCTAGGGGCAGTTTCGGCTTTGTTTAATAAGCCCAAGAAAAGTTTCAATTTGAGGTGTCAAGTTAATGTAAAAATCTTTTGAATTTTATTGGAAGTATGTTTAAAATACAGTACCCACACTGATCAACACCAATGGCGACATTTGTGTTGTCAAAAACAAGAACAGTACGCACGCATTTAATGATGATGTTTGGGTTTGTTTGACCAAAAAAGAAGTAAAAAACGATAATGGAACTCGTTCTTGTTCAAAATAGGTAATTTTAAAAACCTAAACTGTTTAAAACTATAGTTGCAAGGTTCGAAATATGAAGTGTATACTTCGCAAACAAATCTGGCGACATTTGTGTTGTCAAAAATAGTATGCACACAGTCATTGATTATTTTTAGCCTTATTACGCAAAAATAAGTTTAAAAAGGCGATAGTGGAACTCATTAGTCTATTCTTGTTCAAAATATGTAACTTTAAAATCCCAAACTCTTTTAAAACTGTAGTTACAGGGTTCGAAGTAAGTGTATACTCGAAAAACAAAAATAGTGACATTTGTGTTTTCAAACATTTGTCAACGTTGTAAAAAACCGAAGTTATAATGATTGTTTTTATAGGGAAAATTAAAAATATAAACGTACTCACCTTGGCATATATTCTCTGCTTTTGGTCCCGCCAAAAAAAATATAGTTTACCTTTCCATTTGTTAAAAAAAAGGGGTGGAAAAATGCAAAATCTACATTTTTTAAACTTTTTTAAAGGCCGGTTGCCACGGTAACTGATAAATTGCTACGTGCTAGCCCGTATCACGGATGCCGCGTTCGCATCATAGCGTTTTGCCTAGCGTTTCCAGTCCATTCCTTTGATTGTCTATGCTCAGACTCAACAGACTTAGTATTCTTACCCACCACTAGCTCAAGACTCGGATTTGGAAAACCAAATCTGCATTCTGCAAGCAGGTCCACTCTTTTCTGTTTCAAACAATATGCATGGACTGCATCTAGTGTGTCGTTCTACAGTATTAACTAACCTGTGATAATCATTGTCACGATTATCCACTGTTGTAGCGCTAACAGCAGATGGGTGAGGGTCTGGTATCCTCCAGTTTTCATCTGGCAATTCCTCATTAAAAGTTGTCACCAGCCAGTCAACATACCTTTAAAATAATCATAACTTATTATTAACATGTGCGCTTTTTCTATTAGCCAAATGTTACCGAATTAGTCATAAAGGAACTATTTGTTCACCGAATAGTAATTTTATTGCTTTCCCTATTATTTAACAATTATTCGCCGAAGGCGAGGTGATTATCGGTGAATAAAAACCGAGACGAAGTCGAGGTTTTTATTCACGATAATCACCGAGCCTG